CACCCCAAACCAGCCACGCCCTCACTGAACACCCCAAACCAGCCATCCCCCACTGAACACCCCAAACCAAGCACTCCACACCCCCAACACACACCACTCACCCTGTACCAGCCCATTCAGGCACCCCATTCTGGACATCCCAATTTCAAGCACCTCACAGTGGTACCAGGCACCCTGTCCCAATGATCCCACACCAGACATGCCTTGCTGGGCATCCTGTGGTGGACACTGTGCCCTGGACACCCCACCCTGTGCCATGTCCCCCATACCAGGCACCCTATGCCCTGCCCTCCATGCTGTGCACGCCCTGTCCTTGTCCCCAGGGTCCCTGTCACCCCATATCTCTCCCCCCAGGCCGTGTCCTGCAGTGACAGAGCACCTCAATGCCATGCCCCCTATGTTTGCACCCCGTGTCCCCATCCCCAGGGTCCTTGTCATCCTGTGTCTCCCCCCAGGCCGTGTGCTGCGGTGATGGGCAGCACTGTTGTCCCCAGGGCACCACCTGCGACCTGATCCACTCCACCTGCACCTCCCTGGGGGGCTCTGCACTCCTGGCAGCCCTGCCCACAGGTAAGACCCCAGCAGGGACCAACCCCCTGTCCTGTCCTGGGGAGGGGACACCAGCCCTGACTGTCCCCTGTCCCCAGCTCGTGACGTCAAGTGTGACGAGGAGACGAGCTGTCCCGATGGGAACACGTGCTGCCGGCTCAGCTCAGGGGCCTGGGGCTGCTGCCCCCTCGAGCAGGTACGGGGGGTCCCCTGTGCCCCCCAGGATGAGCAGATGTCCCCTGGCCCCCTGGGTGGGATGAGGGGACACAGCTGTGTCTTGTTCCACTGAGAAGGACAAGGGTGGGGGTTACAAGGTCCCCTGTCCTCCAGGAGGGCTCCCATTCCCTGATGTCACATGGGGATGGGGGTGACACTGAGTCACCTTGACATCCCCCACTCAGACCCCCAGTTAGTAAACTGGGACCAGTTTGGGGCTCCAGTGGTGCCCCAAAGGGACAGAGGTGGTGAAGGGACATGAAGCCACCAGGACGCTCTGGGACCTTCCCGAGTCCCACTGAAGGGGGAGGTCAAGAGTGATGGGGCCCCAAATCCCCCCTTCCTCACTGCTGGGGCTGGGGTGGGGAATGGGGATGGTGGAATGGGCAGGAGGGGACACATCTGTCCCGCCTCCTGTGGAGCTGGCAGTGTCTGGGGGTCCCCTGTGCTCAGCCCCCCCTCTTTGCCCTCCAGGCCGTCTGCTGCCCCGACCACGTTCACTGCTGCCCCCAGGGCTACACCTGCGACCCCGAGGGGGGCAGCTGCCTGCAGGGTGGGGGCACCCGCCAGCCCTGGGTGCGCAAGACCCCGGCGCTGCCCCGGGAGGGACAGGTGACCTCGGGGGATGTCAAATGCGATGAAGAGACGAGCTGTCCTGATGGCAGCACCTGCTGCAGGCTGAGCCTGGGCACCTGGGGCTGCTGCCCCCTCGAGCAGGTGTGGGGTCTCTGCCCATGGCAGTGGAGCTCCATGGCTGTGTGGGGTGGGGGACCTGGGGGTGCA